AAAAAATGTCTTGAAAATGTAGAATGACAAATATTTTGAAACATGGAAAATAACCTAAAACTACAAATATTTTAAAACGGATGGAGTATATTAGAAATGATTACAAAAAGAGAAATTGAAATTAAATTTATAATATGCCATTAATGTGAAATGAAAGAGAGCGAAACGGTGGGGCTTTGGTATTTATAAAGGGGCCAAGAAGTAAAGCGCTCTCTCTCTCTAGTGTCATCACCAAAGTCTTCAAGATCACTTTCACCGCCCTCTCTCCATAAGAAAATTATCATAACTCTTTTTTTTTTTAATAAATAAAATAAAAAACAGAAAGAAGAAGAAGAAGAGAATGAGTGATCCCAAGTACGCTTATCCTTACCCAGCTCAAGGTAATTAACTTTTTTTTTTTCTGTCCTTTATTTACGGTTTTCAATTCAATTCTTGCGAGTAGATTGGCCGGTTAAAGCGCGAGGATACTTGTTAATTAGATTGTCCGGTTAAGTGTGGTCGGTTTTGTATTTCTCCGGTTTATTCTTTACTAAAGTTCAGCTCGTCTTCGACGAATGAAATGATAGAAAATCGTCCCAAATTTATTGTTGCTTTAATCACCGTGATTTTATGTTTTTTTTTTACTTGTAAATTTAGCATAGATTCCATGGTTAATCAAAATGGTTATTGATCACAATCAGGTCATGTATTATTAATTACACCTCTCTTTTTGTTTTTGGGTGCGAATGGAATTGGCTGAACAGGGTATTACCAGGGACCGCGGGTGGTGGCTCCGCCGCAGTACGCAGCTCCGCCGCCGAGAAGGCAGCCCGGTTTTCTTGAGGGATGGTAATGCTCTTCTCTCCCCTCTCTCTATATATATATACACATATATGTATATAATTACTAATTATTGTATGTAATATATGAAAATATGGGTGCAGCCTGGCGGCGCTGTGTTGCTGCTGCTTGCTGGACGAGTGCTGCTGTGATCCCACCATCATTTTTGACTTTTGATGTTTTCCTTACATCTTCTTCTGCTTGTGGTTGTAATGTCTATATATTAATATCTCTGTATGTCATCTTATAACTGTCTGCCATTGTATTACATCTTATTACATGTTTCATTTTCTTATTATTGTTGTTATGTATATAGACGAACATACGTACATAGGTATATGACTTTTCTCCATTTCTTATGGGGTGGTCTGAACAAATACAAACATCAATCCCCAGTAGCTTCAGTTTCAGCTGTTGCACATCCGCCGCCGCAGCTGCCTCCACATCCAACGCCGCACCCACCGCCGCAGCTGCCACCGCAGCCGGCAGATTCTGCAGCCTTCACCATGTTTCCACATCCGCCGCCACATCCGCCGCCACCGCAGCCGCCGCCGCAGCCACCACCGCAACCGCCACCACAGCCGGCAGATTCTGCAGCCTTCACCATGTTTCCACATCCGCCGCCACATCCGCCGCCACCGCAGCCGCCGCCGCAGCCACCACCGCAACCGCCACCACAGCCGGCAGATTCTGCAGCCTTCACCATGTTTCCACATCCGCCGCCACATCCGCCGCCGCAGCCAGCAGATTCTGCAGCCATCACCGTGTTTCCACATTCTCCACTGCAGCTGCCGCCGCCACAACCCGCATATTCTCCGGCCTCCACCATATTTCCAAATCCTCCGCCATAGCCGCTGCCCATAATCACAGTCTCCGTGTTTGAGGCTTCCAGCTTCGTTTCGGCTTCTTCTGTTGTTGTTCTGAGTTTAATCTGGTTGCTATCCTCCATTAATCCATTCCCTTCGAGGGTTTCGCTGTTTATAATCTCATCTTTGGTTCTACACCCGAATCCTTCCTTCTTCGAAATCGCGTCAAGTATAAAAGCAGACACGATTCCGGGAAAAACCAGCCAATTCTCCTTTGCCTGTTCATCATGGTTTTCAAGGAAATCTAAAGTTGCATCATGACGGAACCAACCAGGTGGGATCAATCACGAAAACTCACCTCGAAGCAACAGAGTTTCAAGTCGAGCAAACCCACAGCCGTTCCATATGGATGCTGCTTCGAGAACTCTACTGCAGTCATGAAATCTCGGTCACTTCTTTGACCTCTGCAGTGTTTTGGCTCATAATCCAGCCTTCTCCCGGAGAAAACTTTCACCTGTACCAATCAAAGAGTGCTCCACTGTGTCATAACAAGACAATTGTACCCAGAGAAAGCAGATCAAGAACGAGCAGGAACAAATGTATGTGAATGTAAGAAACGTGAATAATATACCACGTGACTACCCAGAAGCTGAAAGAGAGGACCATCTTCCCCTCGACCGTTTGTGTACTCAAGGGACCATTTTGAGTTCAACAAACTCCAGAAAGTGCCATTAAACTCTGCTAGCTTAAGAGTTTCACCGGACTCTTTCACGCCAATCACTTGTCTTTTCGCACTGTGCCCGCCAAAAATAAAATGTAGCTTTACGGTCATGGGATGTTATTACAGCAGCCTAACTGGATTAGGTATTCATAACATAATGTTTGGTTATTGCATACCTCATCTGGAGGCTGATCACCTCAGCTCGGGTATCATCGATAATGAGTGTTGAACTCTTAGCAAGACGAGCCTTTTGGAGCATGGGAAAGCAAGAACCTCTGAGTGATGATCCGGACTGAACCATGTGAAGAAGAGACGGCCTTCGGATCGGTGGGGTGAATGAGACAGCAACACGTAGGAAGACGGCTTTCGAATCTGTATTTCTGTTGCTTGGTGGTGCCAACTCCAACCATTTCTCAACAGAGAGTTTAGCAACTGGGAATAGGAACTCCCTTAGTGACAAAGAAGCAAAACCCAAGTCTTTATCTTCGTTGGTAAGGCGGAAACAAAGCTCTCCCGTCAGTTCACACTGGAACAAATCAACTTGCTTTTGCCCGGATTCAGACAAGACAGCGAGTCTTCGTTCAGAATGAAACAGAGAATCGGGCTGGGTTTTGCTGAACACAACGGAGAGCTTTCCCTTGTGGCCATCTGGTAAGTTCTTAACACCGATGATCTCTAACATAACCTGGAGAATATAGATCCACGACACTTAAAAGTATTATCTAACAACAATCAAATGGAAGAAGCGCATGAAGAATAACAATACAAAGACTACCTCAATAGCTTCCACCTCTGGAAACTGGATTACATTCTGGTACTCACTGTCCAGAGCCAATTCCTTACCCGAAGAATCAGATGCAAAAGGAACAATTGTGACAGGAGCAGGAGTACTGCCTCTGTACATAGCACCAGCCTTCCAGTACCTTCTACCGAAAGTCTCCTCCCACTGAGCAGTAGTTCCAGAGAAGCCATTATCGAGTTTCTTACCTTTCTTCCTGTCGGAATCTGTGTCATCATGCTCCAAGACCTTGCCAATGGCCTTTTCCAAATCCTTGCAGTAAGAGAGAGGGTGCAGCTGATGCGTGTGCCAGATTAGGTCAATATCATAAGTTGGGACACAGAAACGTTTTATGGATCTCTCTCCATTTTTCTTGATAAGGTAGAGAAAGCCTTTATATCTCGCCACTGCTTCCTCCAGAAAGATGTCATTGTTTACATGGGGTCTGGAAACCTGTAGCAAAACAACAGGAAGAAACACGAAGCAAGATGAAGAAATAAAATCTAGGACCCCAGAGGATTAGAAACCTTGAAAAGAGCAGATTTGAAGAGAACCTGCTCTGGTTACTATGACATGCAACATTAAATAAGGTTGCTTTAGGACATACAACAGAGACCAATCGTGCTTTTGTAGTAACAAAATCAGTAATGGAACTATGATAAAGGATAAGGAGCTCAAATTTTCAACCTGTAACCCTCACTAAGTACACGAAAAGAAAGGCCCCGTCTTGAACTTCATGTTCTAAACTAAAATAAGATATCATAAAGAGGAAATGGTGACCAACAAAAGCTTGTTTGTTGTTTGGTTGACAAAATCTATAAATCTGTAAATTGATGACATAGTGGAGACAGGCATTCCATGGTTACCTGGTAGTAAAATGGGCTTTGTCTTTTGACTGCTGAAACTAGATCATATTTAGTGCACTCTTCAAGAGCTGACAACTTTTCAGAAACATCCTCTGAGATTGCCTCATCCAAGTCTAGGTCATACAGTTCTTCAGGATACAACCTATTCCAAATATCTTCAGTTTGTCTTTTGAAGTTGCCATTGATGGAAGATACCACATCACAATTGTCAAGAACTTTCCCGTAAAGCTGCTCGCAGTCAGACTTGTACCTTACCTAGAAGACAAGACAGCAACATAATAAGTATTTCTCCGAGACTGAACATCGAATAATGATGCATTTGCTTACCGGATTAAGTCTGTGGCAATGCCAAATCCATTCACAGTCAAGAGGAGGAACCAATGAATTTTCGCGGATCGGTGACTCAGTGTATTTGGCAAGCAAGGGAAGCCAGCAAGCGTTGTACCTGAAATTTACCAACTTATTAAAATTCATAAGCCTTAATACACACATCAAGCCCCTATTGAACTTCTTATATCACCAAAAACCATTACCTATCAAGGGAACAGCGAAATACCAAATCATAACTCAATGATTTATCAGTCAAAATGGCTAAAGAATCTATTTTTCAGAAATCAAAGCCTGAATCAAGATGAGGGTTAAGACCTGTAGATGGATCTCAGCAGTAAAGGGCCTTCATAGAGCCACCGATTCTGATCAACAGTTGCAAGGAACTGAAGCTGTTGCTTGGCAGCAGAGATGAGGTCAACGTTTATCTCCAGCTTTTGGGCCTCAACCCACTCCAACTCTTGCTCCTTCTCCTTATCCATTCCCTGAAGTTTTCCTGCAATTTCGAAACAAGACAACAAACCCATAATGACAAAACAAAATTGGGGTTGACAACGGATAACATGAAAAGATGGGAATTTGACCTTTGTCCGATCTCATGCATGCCCCTATTTGTCAGATCATGGATTTTACAAGTATGAACATGGATTAGATTCACAGTAACACGATTCATGCATTCTTTTTCGCTTGATCCTACCCCGAATAGCATTTTCGTATCACTAAAACAATTAACTTTTTAGTGTGAAATTAGCAACTACAATTATCTGTTTGGTTGCCCAGAAAACGGAAACACAATCCAAGAAAAACGAGAAATGGCCCATTTTCTTGGGAGAAATAGGGAATCCAAGATCACATGCAAACAAAATCACAACTCCGAAATACCTAAAAGCCGAGATTTTTCAAGGATCAAACATAAGTCAAAGCAGAAGAAATCATGCTACATCGGTACATGTGAACACAGCATTAGCACAAAAAAAGAAAAGGAACTCCAATCGCATTACCTCCGGTTGGAAAATTTTCTCTCACGAAGCTTAGTCCGAAGAAGGAGACCCTGAGGAATCGAGTCTCAGAGGCCGGGTTTTATAGCGACTCACCATGTCCGGGTGACAAGGGAGTAGAAAGACGATAATACCCTCACGCACGTAGCGATGTAAACACAAAGGGAGTGGAAATTATAGTGTTTTTTCTGATTTTTTTAATCATCTCATATATTAATAATTTAATAAATTAAACACGCTAAATATAATGTATCGACTTAAAACGAAGTATATATTACTACTATTGAATATGTACCTCGAAGCTATTTTAGTTTTTAGTAGGCAAAAAAAATTGTGAAATCTTGTTTTTCAGGAAAAAAAGTCAGAAAAAAAGAAAAAAGAAATAAAGATGGCGTGAGGAGATTAGAGAAAGAAATGCTAAATACGTGAGGAATATTTGCCGTGTCCCACAAGGAACTGATGTGAAAAACCCAACGCTTGTAACATGACAAAGCCACACAAGAGAGGAAATGATCCAACATTCCACAAACAGAAACTAAAGATTGGATTAGACAAAAGTATTCAAAGCGTGCAGTAACATCAAACCGTTATCCAAATGTTACAGAACCGGTCCTAATCAAACCGGTTTACATCGTATTTTGCATTGGCAAATATCAAATGGGTTCAGAGCTCAACTCCAAAATTTCTCTAAATACAAACTGCTAACCCGGTTTCCCCCCCTCACTTCTTGGAACTGCTTGCCTCTTCGTATTCAGCTTCCTGCGTCTGGTCGCCACTGCCACCGCTGCTTCCGTCGGCAGACCCTCCGGATGAGGAGGATCCTTTAGACATGTGTTCGCCGATTTTCGAGACAGCCTTGTTTGCAGCTTCCAGCTTTGCCTTGATCTCGTCAGCGCTTTCTCCCGCCATTGCACTCCTGAGTTCAGAAACTGCTGTTTCAATCTCCGTCGCTATCTCGGCAGGGACCTTCTCTCTGTACTCGCTCAAGCTCTTCTCGATGCTGTAAATGGTTGTGTCAGCACTGTTCCTTATATCGATCAGAGCCTTCTTCTCTTGGTCCTTCTGGGCGTGGAGCTCGGCTTCTTTCACCATTCTCTCAATCTCGTCATCAGACAAACCTCCAGAAGACCGGATGGTGATCTGCTGTTCTTTTGCTGTTGCTTTGTCTTTGGCCGAGACAGTAACTATACCGTTAGCATCAATGTCGAAGGTGACTTCGATTTGGGGCATTCCCCTCGGGGCAGGAGGGATACCCACAAGCTCAAATTCTCCGAGGAGTTTGTTGTCAGACGCCATTTCGCGCTCGCCCTGAAGGACTTTGATACCCACTTGTGTCTGGTTGTCAGCTGCTGTTGAGAAAACCTGAGAATTTTGTCACGAGAAAAGGGTTACCATTTGAACAGAACACGTTAATTCATTCAAAGATCCAAGAATTTAAAAAATCTGAAACGGCAACAATACCTGTGACTTCTTGGTGGGAATGGTGGTGTTTCGGTTGATCAGCCTGGTGAAAATCCCACCGAGGGTTTCAATACCGAGCGAGAGAGGGGTCACATCCAAAAGAAGCAACTCCTTCACATCACCACGAAGGATACCACCTTGGATAGCAGCTCCCATGGCAACTGCTTCATCAGGGTTAACACCTTTACTAGGACTCTTCCCGAAGATCTCCGCAACAATCTCTTGAACTTTTGGAACTCGGGTCATTCCACCAACTAGCAGAACCTCATCGACCTCTTTAACCGTGATTCCAGCATCTTTCAGACAGTTTTGGCATGGAGCCCTTGTTCTCTCAATCAAGTTGTTAACCAAAGCTTCAAACTTTGACCTGGTTAGGGTAACGTTCAAGTGTTTTGCCCCGGAAGCATCAGCTGTTATGAATGGCAAGTTGATTTCTGTCTGAGATGTTGATGAAAGCTCTATCTTGGCCTTCTCAGCAGCTTCTCTCAGTCTTTGAAGGGCTAGCCTGTCGTTCGTCAGATCAATTCCATCCGTTCTCTTGAACTCACTAACCAAGTACTCCAACAAGGTGTTGTCAAAGTCTTCTCCTCCCAAAAAGGTATCTCCATTTGTTGATTTCACCTGTTACAGGAACTGCCACATGATTGCACCCGAGAACAGAAGCAAGAAGAGAGGAACAAGCATACAAGACATACCTCGAAAACTCCATTTGAGATTTCCAGGATGGAGACATCAAAGGTTCCTCCTCCAAGATCGAACACAGCTATGATACCCTCCTTGTTGTTCATACCATATGATAGAGCAGCAGCTGTCGGTTCATTGATGATCCTCTGCACATCAAGACCAGCGATTCTCCCAGCATCCTTTGTGGCTTGTCTTTGAGCATCGTTGAAATAAGCTGGAACAGTAATAACAGCTTTGGTGATAGTTTTCCCAAGGTATGCTTCAGCAGTTTCCTTCATTTTGGTGAGAACAAAAGCTCCAATCTGGCTAGGAGAGTACTTTTGGCCGTTCGCTTCGACCCAAGCATCACCATTTGGAGCTTTAACAATCTTGTATGGAACCATTTTCATCTCTTTTTGTGTCTGAGAGTCTTCGAACCGTCTCCCTATCAAACGTTTGGTCCCAAAAACTGTGTTGGTTGGGTTTGTCACGGCCTGACGTTTGGCAGGGGTTCCCACAAGGAGTTCACCCTTCTGGTTAATGGCAACCACTGAAGGAGTGGTTCGAGTTCCTTCTGCATTCTCAATCACCTTAGGGGTCTGTAACATGAGATTGGATCCAATAACTTTAGCATGACAATTCAAACCCAGACTTATTCTCAGCAGCCGGAACAAACAAGAAAACCAATAAAGCAAACAGCCAGGGGCTAGAAAGAAATGTTTTACCTTTCCTTCCATCACGGATACACAAGAATTGGTAGTACCCAAGTCAATACCAATAACATCATTACCGATGGGTCTTGCGCTGTACAGATTAACACACACGTAAGGCTAGGAAAACACCTAAAGCGGGTCATCAAACTGTAACACAAACGGTAGATTGAAGCACCTGAAAGGCCTCGCCAATAAACCCAATTTTCCAGCCAAAGACGTCTTTCCATTTGTAGATAGCTGCAAATGAAATCGAATAGTGTATATGTTTCAATCATATACATGTCCAATAAGGCAATTCCCAGAAAAAAAAAAGTCGAATTATTCAGTTAGTAAAGAACCTCAATCATAAAGGTCACTAATTCAACACATCAGAAATCAGGACAGATAAGAGCTTCGAAATCTAGATCCCAAGAGCTGAAAACGACTCTTACCACCTAACTACGTAGATTCATGCTCTCTCCAGAATCTTAAACCCTATATCAGCCGGAAACGATACGAAGACATGGATCCAACAAAAACACCAAAAACCGATCCTTACATTTCCATGATAACGGAAAGCAAACTCTCAGGCAAGCAAGATATGAGCAAGAAGATAAGATTAAGGGGTGAGATACATACGGATTTGTAAGCGGAGACGGAAACTGAGTGGAGCTCGCGGCGGCGGAGCGAGCGGAGAAGAGCGGCGGTGGCCATTGGAAGCGTCGGAGAGGTTTTCCGAGACGTAGGGTTTAAAGGCCAGAGGCGCAGAGAAATGACTGGCTGAACGTAGGGTTTAAGGGACCTTTTATGAAAGAACGTCTGAAGGCATAATTACCACTATAACCTCATCGCTTCTAGAAAGTACCCCACTCTTCCACTCCGGGCCTTTGTGAAAGGCGAGGTTGTCACGAGGGTAATCCAGGAAATGCATAAAATTGAGATTCGTGGGCTACAAGTCAGTCTTCCCTTTGACTTTTTCAAACACGGGCCATTAATGGGCTTCATATTTGGCATTGACTCATATCAAGCATTTTTTTTCAGTCAGCCCAATAGTTTTATTAGTTAGCCATCCTATGTCGTTGGATTTTTTTTTCTTGGGGGGTATTATTTTAAAAAAAATCATACTATTAATTCATCAGCATGAGTTGTAACAAAAGTAAGCAAAATAGTAATAATTTATTTGACTATAAATCTCTAATATTCAATATGTATATCACTTCCATCATACATACATGCACACATGCATGTGTACATAATCAGGGTAGAGACCAAGTACCATAATCAATGTATTATGTATATATGATGACTTCATTATCTTGACCAAATCTTTTTCTTGGTGTCCCTCTCCTTGGCTCCTTGGCCTTGCTGTTCCCTGTTCACAGACCTCTTCTGAGCAAGAACAGGCCCTCCATGGTTTGTGGGTCTGGTAAACCTAGCTGCCACTTTTGGTGGATCAGATTTCCTGATCCGTTTCTCGTTCATATGCACCGATACGTCGTTGTTTTTCTCCGAGTCACCAGTTCTTGAGTCCCTCTTCTTCCTTGTCGGCTCGTGGAGAAAAGAATCATTGTTTCTGGGAAGGGATGACCTTTGATAATGGCTCCTTGGACGGTTAACGGAGTTAAAAGTCCTTAGGATGTTAGACTCGATGTTTTCATTGGTGAAGTTATCGTCTTTGAAGCAAGTTTTCGCTTCGCTAGGAGATGTAGCATTGATGGTGTCGGGGAACTCACGAGTTTCCAGCATTTGTATATGCTGCTTTTGCTCCTTAATCCTGTCTTCGAGTTCTTTAATCTGCAAACTCATTTGAAAACATCATCGTCAGCTCGAAAAATCCTAATGTTAAAAGATTCAAGAATGTCCCGAGAGGCAAAAAACCAACCTTGAGATGAAGCAAAACTAGTTCTTGGTTCTGGTCTTCTTTCTGTTTCATCTCCAGCTCCTTAATCTGGAAGCCATGGTGAACAGAAGAAAGGGCTGTTGTGTATTGTCTTTCCTTATACATTGAAAGCGAGCAAACTTTGAAACTAGATCTGGACAAACCTTCTGCTGCAATGTCAGGGAACTGTTTTCAGACTCTCTCAGCTTATTCTCGAGATCCTTGACCTGAACGGACAAAGAGTTCAAGAGCTATCAGTTGTTTTTCTTCCTCTCACCAAAACGGTGAATAACTGTAACAAACATGCCCAAACCAAACCTTCTGCTGGTAAGAAGCTGTAGATTCTGATTGTTGTCCTTCTCGAAGCCTACACTCTAGCTCCTTGATCTACAATTGAAAATTCTGTTATCCATATATACGTTTCCACTTAAAGAATCAAAGCCTGGTTAAGTAGAGAAAGAAACCTTCTGGTGGAGGTTGCTACACATCTCATCTCTTCCCTCCAGTCTTTCCAGAAGCTGTGTGTATTGCTTCTCCGACTGGCTGTGCATAGAAATTCTTGACTCGAGTTGACTCTCGAGTTCTTTATTCTTTTCCTGGAGGCTTCGGCATGTTTGGTCTCTCCCTTTGGTCTTATTCTCCAAGTTTTGCAAGTTTTCTTCCAGTTTTCTTATTGATTCGTCTTTAGATTGACATTCTTGCCTTGCTTTCTCCAGCTTTAGTAATGACAGATGCAAGCCAAAAAGGAGAAACTCTAATCAGAGAGGGTATGGAAAAGAAAAATATGATCGGAAGTATTGATTGATAGCTGCAGAAGGATATATACACATGTAGTAAATGCAGAAGTCATACCATTGCTTTGATCTTCTGAATCTCATAGGTATCAACTTGCTTTTTTGCAGGACCGAGCTCAACCCCTCTAACCCGAGTTGCAAAATTTAATGAACTAAGTGTCTCACTCAGGTCCTGTTCAGAAGGACTGATTTGCACAAACATTAGAGTCTTTGAGTCTCCTCCTGCAGAGTTTTGTAGGCAGTATTGACATCAAAACTTGACCACAGAATTATCCACTACAGCCGGTAAATGAAGCATCTTACCCAATGAATCTTGAAGCAAATGTGTTAACTTTGAGTTCCTGAGAGTATCGGCGGAAAAAGTTAAAGACAGTTATATCAAAGCTAACAGCTTTTTCCCCAAGCAGTAGGAATCACAAGAAATGACTGAGACAAGACCTGTATGGAATGTGACCACTTTTTGTTGCCAATGCATAAATCACATCCCCAAGAGCAGAGAGCGACCTATTGATGTTTTGAGCTTCCTTGAGACGCTCGCCTTGCACGTCAGTTTTGGCCAACCTTTCGCTTCCAGCCAAATCCACAAGCCAAAGCTTGCTTTTTGTGCATTCACCATTCATCAGGTTCATGGCTTTCACCATAATACAGAGCATGCTGAAATGATAACAGAAGATCACTAAATGGATCATATAGAGAAACAAAAAAGATCAAGCAGCAGGAGTTGGAAAAGATCTCGATACCAGTGGGAGCGACTGCTATGCTCGTTTACGTTATTGGATCCGACAGCTCTAGCATTGCTTCCAGCCTGAAGCACATTCCAGACTTCATTGATGTTTTCAACTTTAGCTTCTACTAGTCCAGGGACATGATGGGGTCCCTCGGGAGATTGTTTTATCTCCAACCTTTGGAGACAAACCCATAAAAAACCAGGTCAAACTTCCACATAAAGCTGAAGTTTCTGTTCCAATCCCTAATCAAACATGGATGGCCATTTTCTTACTTTTTTGATGATGGTGATGTTGCCAACAAATCTCTTATCTGTTCATTGTAGACCTCAAGAACACTAACTGATATATTATATGAAAACGTCTCCCTCCTTTCCCTAGCAACCTCAAATAACTGTTCAAGTGTCCTATAGTTGACACCCCTGTTCTGTGAAGTACCCTCCATAGTGAAAGTCTTTCCTGTTCCTGTTTGTCCATATGCAAAAATGCACACATTGTATCCGTCCAGCACAGAAACAACCATTGGAGATGCATCCGCAAAGACATCAACTGGCAAGGTCATGTAATAGTCTCTGTCAAACAACAATATATTATTTATAAAACCAAGAGATATAGTTATAGTTTGATCATAACATGTATTACCTTGACCATCTTTGGGAGTATAAACCCTGTCAAACTTGAAAATCTTCTTAGAAACTCCTGTAGTAATTCCAAGCTCTCCATCTTCTGCTCCGGCAAAGTCAACAGTCATTGTAAACCCAGATGATGTCTCGTCCTTGTTCAAAGGGCGGCATCGACAAAAGACCCTAATATTGCCTGGTAAAAGGGAATCTTATCAGTGATGTAAGCATAGGTTTTCAAATGTGGAAATCAAGAAAATAAAGCAAAACACCAAGAAAGGATAAGAATGAAGTGCCTTTAGTTTCCTGAATATAGTTATACAGCTCCTTCCGTTTGGCTTGCTCTTTGTTGTACTTCTGCTTGAGTTCCTCACATTCAGAAACTGCTTATTGAGTTCATAAAAATATTACTTAATGAATTGCATGTCTTAAATCCCATCTCAAGAATTCAAAAATGGCACTGAACTCACCAAGTGCCTGAACTCCATTAACCATTTTGTACAACTCGGGGATTGATTCCACACACTCATGCGCATTCTGAGATAGCTGAGATTGTTCCTTTTTCATTATCTGCAAGGAAAAATTTTGGTAAACTTATCATGGAGAAACATGCACATGACAAAGATATTGAGATATGTGCTGGGGCTTAAGAAAATCACAAGATACCTTTATTTTCTCTTGCAAATTACCAATTTCCAAAGACCAATGTCTCTTGTCACTCTCGTACTTTGTTGTTATAGTCCTTAAACTATCAGCTTGTTGTACAACAGTTTGGTCTACCAGAGGGGCAAGTAAAGGAAAAGGGGAATTCAGTTTGGTCTACCAGAGGGAAAAGTAAAGGAAAAGGGGAATTCTTCATGTAAGCATCAAAACTAAATCCATAACACTAAATCCAAAGGGAAAGAGAAAAGTGTGAATTGGTTCTGATGAGAAATTCCCATTTTCGAGTGTAGCATTCATTACCTAGAGAGCGTGCCTCGAATGTTTTAATATCAAGCTCCATCATCACCTTCTCTAGCTGCTCATTTGCAGAAGTCAATGACATCCATGCTTCATGGCACTCGTTCGACTTAAGTTGGCATTGCGTCATAAGTTCTTGAATCTTCTTCTCGTACTGATCTTGAACTTTTGCTCGCATAACCCTCTTCTGCTCAACATATAACAGAGACAACAAGATAAGCAGGATTTCTGTAATTCTTTAAAACAGGAACCACCATGGTAAGTAAATAGTACCCGAGCCCGAGAAATCTCTATCTCAGCAGCGCAATTCTCGCATTTGATATAATCTTGTGAAGCCCGTGGAACTGTGCAAGAATGTAATGCATGAATGAGAAGTATAGTAGCTGGGGACTTGTTTTCATGGGTTTTAAAAAAAAAGCTCAAAAGGTATAAGTTAATGAAAACAGAATTACCTGAAATCTGTGGTGCTTTCCTCACATTAATCCCACAAACCACCGGGCTTCCATTCACTCCTTGAAACCGTATCCTAATCAATCCATCCTCCATCACCAAGACCCTTAAGTCAACCAACACGAGTGGCCTGTTGGCTCCAACCACTGAGAAAATATCAAATTCAGACAAGACCTGACATTACAGATAAAACGCTTTTAGCGCAAACAAGCTCCAATCTGTAGAGACATGAAAAAAAAAAGGACATCCTTGGTTTACTTGCCTTCTCTTCTTGAACATAGACATTGAACACCCTTATTCCCTTAGGCCCATTGGTATTGATAATCTCAGCGAAATGAAAATCGACAAAATATTCTCCAGGAGGAAGATTGTTCAACAAGTATCTCTACACGTGCTGATTGATATATGAATGGGTAATCTCCGGCCTCAACTATAGGCTCATCTGTTCTTAGCCCGTCTCCTCCTTCGAAATAGGTATCGCTGAGGATCTTTAGGGAAGAATCTAAAACGTTCGAATCGTCGCTTCCAGCATTTATGAACATCAAAATCTCATCTGGTGACAGGAATCCGAAAGCAACTATATTAATACAAAGCACTGCATAACCTAAAACTCAATTTGTAAGGTCAAAATAGTTCAATATAGCACCATACACACTACGACCACGTTCGTTACAGTTTTCCTAAATATAACACACACCCTTTACCTACACTGGACCATAAATCTTCAACTTCCGATCAAATTCAGTCAAATTGAACTAAAGCTGTAGCCTTTTCAGCATATATTGATAGATCTAAACAGGAAAAAACCACAAATCTGTAGAATTGCACGGAGAGATACTTAATCCTATCGCTTTTAATCAATGGATTCCTAAAACAATAAGGATCCAAATTTCGGAGAAAACTGCGTGTGGACTTCGTTATAGAGACGAAAATCCAGACGAAATGGCACATATAACGAAGCGTTTGAATTCGAAAAATGGACGAAAGAACGAGAAACCAACCTGTGCAATTGGATCTTGTAAAACCGGCAGGTAACAGTCTTGAATTTGGATCACAGAGCATCAAATCCGACAAAGAATCTCCACAATCATGCTTAACAGCTTCTCTAGTTTCGTCTTTCTCCACCCGATCTAGTTCAGGTCGTGAAACCCTAATCCCCAATGAACCAGGTGACTGTAATTTCGCGTCGCTGGGAACTGTAGCGTTGAATTGAGCGTCTTCCATGGAAAAATTGAAGTGATTTACTTCTTGGAAACCCAGAAAATTCCGAGAACAAAAGACGATCAAAGTGCTTATCTTTCTATCGTTTCGTAGACTTTGAAAGAGGAAGAAAATGCAGAGAATCTTTTCGTTTTCCTTTTCTGCGTTTGGTATTTCAAATTTGAATCTCCAATTCGACCGTTGAAAATGTAACGTTAAGCCCTAATTTTAAAATGGGCCGGAATTTTTCATATATACCTATCTGGTCTTTTTGGGCCTACGACGAGTGAATTGCCATCTCATCATTAGCACACCGAGAAATATAAACGAGGTAAATTTATTAAAAATATTCAATATAAAACCATTAATTTTTTGGTAAATTTTAGCAGTTTCAAAAATTGTAAATGTTTTCTTATAACAGTTGTGTAAAATAGGATTATGAAACTGTCAAAATGCAGGATCGTTCTAAAATGAAAATATGATTTCTAATTAATTTTTACCAAATAAAAAATTAAAATTATATAATAGTTGGAATTTTAAAAATCCAAAATAAAAAAAAATTACGGTTTAAGTTTTTATAAAATTACTTTTTCTAAAAATTTAGAAAATCAATTGGATGAAAAAATGATAAAAAAATCAAAAACTACATTTTTAGATTTACAAATATTATATAATCCAATAAATAAAAATAAAAATTTAAAAACTAAGAAAAACTCAAATAAAAATCATTCCCGTTCAAATCCTAATTTCGTTTTTAGAAAATGACCAATCCACATCCAGATGATGGAACGACACCGTTTGGGTGCCCAAGTCATGGCCAACGTGAGAGAATCCATCTGATCTAGTTCTCCCAAGCATGGCGACGTCGGTCGTCGGAATCATGCTCACTCACACCAAATCGACTCCATCATGTCCGCCGCGAGAAAACATAATCCCTCTTTCGAATCTGAAAACTTCGACCAAAACAACGAAAACCCAGAAACGGAGAAACCCCTCCGGTGATATTCACGGCGACGGCGGCTCCGATAATTCTCTAGGGTTTAGGGCTTCGTTGCCGTTCCATGTGAAATCCATCACCAGCACTTCAAACCCTTTTATCAAGCACTGCTTGAAGCTCCGACAGAGCTCCTCCTACCGCCATGCCCATGGCTCTGTTCTTGTCGTTGGAGCTACCCCCATAAGGTATCTGCCACTGTCTGTTCTTCATCTGGGTTCCTTGTGTTCGTAAGCATGTTCCATTGAGGAGCTTCCCTGCTCGTTCTCAGCTTTGTTACTGAGTGAATCGAAGAAAATTGTTTCCTTTATGTGCTCAAACGGCTCTTAAGTTCGATGATTCATGTGAGATTGAGGAAAAAAGAGAAAACTTTCTACCTGAACTGTTACGCAATGGCGTCATGAAGGTGAGTTGACTGAAAATCATTATACCACGAATCTATCACCAATTCCCAAGTAATGGGTTTCATCCAGAGAGCTGTAATCTTCCTTGGTGTTGTCATTTCCTGTATCCTAACCTTGAGCCAAGTTAACTTGACTTGTTGTGCCTCGCCCACAGGGAAGTAAGCATGTTCCAAGGGAATTTACAAGAAAGTACCACAGAAATGGATTGTCTATTTCTGCAAGAGGAAGCTCGGATTCCACAAGGGTTACAGGGTTTACATCTCCAAGTTGTTCGTGTAAGTCCTTTGGTGTTGAAAAAACTCTCAGGAATGCAGTCTACTGAATCTGTTGAAGCCATTGCCTTAATGAGAATTCCTAGAAGCTTCATAGATCTTCAAGATGACAGCAACAAGACAGAAGACTGCACAAAGTGGTTCCCGTCTGCTCATCGGATCCTGGTTCTGGACAGCGTACAGGTTATTAGTTCCTCACTCAGGCTCAGTCCGAATTTTTTCCTCGCGTGATTTACTGGATCTTTTGAAATGATATCATTACGGTATATGCGAGCTCTTGGTAGTAAAATAGTTGCCAGATGCAACTGTTCTGCTCAAGATATATATGTATATATGCTCTTCAGATTCAGACTGTATACTGAGTATAGTGTTCAGCCTTAGTCGCAGCATCGAAAAGAAAGAAGATACAATACATAATGTTGTTATATATGCTTTTTGTGCTTCATGGTTGTATCACATGCTTCCTAATTGTTACTGAAACACCTATCTTCTTCAAGTACCTTTGCCTGTGCCAGATGTTTTAGGTTATGAAAAAACTTCCTGTTTATATGTAAACTGATTGAATTCTCGATCAACTACCATAAGGGTTGGAACGTTATCGTTTTAGGCTCTCGGGCAATTAGAAAGTACTGAAAAGAAACAGTTCCTCTTTGCAGGATCCGGGCAACCTTGGCACGTTACTAAGATCTGCTATGGCCTTTAATTGGGTATGAACAACCATCTTTTTCTCTTTGCCAGGCAATTCTATAACTCTCTCATTAGTTTGACTCGTGTTTCACCTTTCCATGATTCACCTTGTCTTTTTAATCAGAATCCAGTGCCTTTATCTTATTATTGTTTCATTGGATTACACCTCCAAATCATGTGTTTGTCCTCTCTGAAATTTGTATCAAAACCAGTTCCAGATCAAATGTTGTAGTCTCCTAAGCTGTCACCACATTAGATACAGAATCTATAAGGATTTACACAAACCGGCGATCAGATGTAATGTAACGACGCTGCCTAATGTCTTTCCCGATATATTAGGAAATATTCTTTGCCTTTTCATTGTCCTTTTCTCAGAATGCAATTCATATATGGACCCACTTAAAACTAATGACCTAATCAGTAAATAGGTTATCAATGGGGGAGGAAAGCTTCTTGTTTTACTGCAATTGAGGGCTATCCTTGATATTCTTCATGGGAATGAATATTTGCCATGCACAGGTTTCTTTCTCCAGCTCCAATATGCGAAGCACTATCTCATCTCGGCTATGAACCGTTTTGTACAGGATGGTGCCTTTCTGCTTCCAGGCTGTTGCGATCCATTCAATGACAAAGCCCTCCGAGCAAGCCGAGGAGCTTCATTTCAGCTCCCCATAGTTTCCGGCACCTGGTCTCATCTTCAGCTTCTACAACACCATTTCCAGATGAAGCTATTAGCTGCAAACCCTGCAATCCCTGAGAAACCGAAACCCATTTCCACACTGTCCCAAGAATTTGCGCAGTTTTTGTCGGAGAAGCCATTGTGTTTGGTTTTAGGCAGTGAAGGGCAAGGTCTGTCTGAGCAGTCAAGGCGGATATGTGAGCTCGTGAGCATTCCAATGGCGGGCAGATTCGAATCTCTCAATGTATCTGTTGCTGGTGGCATTTTTTTGTACATGCTTCAACCTTACCCCAGTTTTTGAATGCCAAAACTGAACTGATGTGGATTAGACTTTTTTCTAATCAAAGGTGTGAGCTTGACCCTGATAAATTCTATGATACTGATACACTTTAAAACAATCAAGAAGAATATTGAATATATATTCCTCTTAAGCAGTGAATTTACTTACATTCACATCCTAATTGGTGCTGAAATATTCTCTTAGACCAAAAAAAAAAAAAGGAAAAGTGACTATCACCAGGATTTGGTGCTGGTGGTTGGCTCTCATTGATCGGCAACAATGGACACAATCAATCCCATTGCTTCTCTGATTTGCCCTGGTGACCCTGAAATGACTATCGTCCCTTCACCTCCCTCAGGATCTTGCACCTCCACTCTCACTCCTGAAACCTATCGTTTCATATCCCATGTGTCATCACAACCCTTCTTTCTAACCATTAGCTATAGATTTCATTGTTGTTTTAGCCTACACAACAAAAATCAATCGGGCGGTAAAAGGGCATGGCTCGAGTCTACAGAATTACCTGTTGTAGATTACTCAGACCGCATCCGTCTCTTCCATAGAGTGTTGCAAGAGCGTCTTCCCGAACTGCTATCTCCATGGTGACACTTTTCAAAGAAACGGATGGCTTTCTGCTTCAATACCAAAAGGAAAGACTTGAGATGTGAACGACCTATTTTTTGGAACCGCTGATTGTTTCGAAGTTTGTGTACAGCACATACTGTACGATTGATGCAACTGACCTTATCGATGAATCTGTTGGCGAAGAAGAGATTTCATTGTTGCTAGAGAGCTCAAGATCTTTCATTCCCTGAGACAAATCATTCTCTTGAAGTCCTGAAGATGCAGTATTCTTGAGTTCTCCATCTGTGCTCCTCTGTCCCATTTCATTGCCAACTTCAAAGGGAAATAGACAATCGAGGGACTTGTTGAGTTCTGTACCGCTCCAAATCATCTTCGGGTCATCTGACACCGAGGGCAAACAGCCTCTGCCTGGATTCTGCAGAATTGTTTAACCACCAATACTCTCGAAAAAAGAGGAAACAGTAACAAAGAATTCTACTTTTGGCAAGAAACACTTACTTGCGATTGTTGCAAATTAAGTGTGTGGGAATCCATCTCATGAGCTTGAATGTTATTATCCGGACTATTGTACGTATGACCAACTCCCTGTTCATTGAGGACATCCTTCGGTGATAGGTTATTCCTCAACATAGAAGTCACTTGAGACAAGGTTTTCCGTACATCCTTGTACTCTCCCACAATCTAAAACAAAGTACATAAAAGTAGACAGTAAATCAACTGAGGCAGTTTTTGGGATGTCATGTCAGAACAACAAAATTGGTGGCTCTGAAACTTTATCCTGTGAAAGACTCGGGCCCTAATACAGGCTAAGATTCATAACATCTAGTAGAAAATCAAAATTGTTTCAGAAAAATATCAGTTAATTGGATCAGAGCCATCTTAGTTCCCTAGAAACAGCTTACACGGACTAATTCCACACTGATGTAACCTTGAAAACGATAGTGCAAATATTTACCTCGATCACCACTTCATTCTCAGAGGTGCAACCCAGGATCTGGTCTTCTCCTAGAACATGTATATCAGCACCAGTCACTTCGATTATATCTCTATTTTCATTTACGGAATTAGCAAAGTCTGAAGGTACCAAAAGCTTTGCTTTCACAATAGCACCATCGCCCAAACCACGCGTGAGCCGCCCATTCCCAGTATCAATCTCGACAGATTTTGTAAAGACGAGAATTAGGGCATTTTGTGCAGGAGAGTGCCATGAATCGAGGTTCTATGGAAACAGAGCAAAATTTACATCAACAATGGCACACCAAGAAAGAAACTTTGTAAGCGTCGGTGGGTGAAAAATATGATAGAACATCTTACCTCATGGGCAGAAATGGTAACAATGCGATCACCGGATACAGCCAAAGGAGCTCCGAGCGTAATAGAGGCACCTGTTCCATTCTGTAGAGCTCTGAGAACGGATCCTGATTTCCCAATTATGCCTCCAGCTGCAACATATGTGCAGATAATTTTGAACACAACATCTTGTCCTGAATCTTTTGCATCTGAATAACTGGTCCACTCCACCTCTGTCGATGATAAGTCCCCCTTTGAAGCAGCCTCCACAGCATTATTCGCAGTTACAGGAGGTAAAAGAGAGCTCAGATGGGGGAAAAACTCCGAATGCGGATCCTCAGATTTTCCATCAACAACCGTCTCAAATGGTTTGCTGCACAGCGGCGGCGGGTACCCATCTAAAGGCGGACAGTCTTGAAGACAGCCCGATACCATAATCAAAGCTTTCTTCACAGCCAAGACTCTTCCAGTAACCTTGCACAAAAAGACGCAAAGTTCAACACTCTGTTCTTGATCAACCACACGAAATCTACACACAAATTCACGCCCTATGTATCAATTTCAGCACTTTAGAGGAAAATTGTTGCAATATCGCTTCCATTGGAGCAAATCTCTACAAATCAACCAGGCAGAACCTAGAAATATTTTTAAAAAAACCTAGAGATGACGGACAATTCATTTGGTTCTGCGCCTAACGAACACGTTTAACAGTTAACATCGCAAGAATTTTTTTTGGTAAATGGTATTTGTATTAATATCAGAAAACATTTACAAGAGTTAAAGATCGTGCAAGAAACTTTTGTTTACCCAAAGCCTTAGTCAGATGATCTTTGTTACCTGAATCATATCAAAGAATTACCTGAATCAGTTGATCTCTTTTAGTGCCACAAGCCGGAGGAGGAAGAACCGTAATCCTGGCTCCCGTTTCTTTCCTCATCCACTCCACATTCTTCCCTCCTTTTCCCAGAACAGCTCCAATTTGAGTACTATCCGCCAAAATCCCACAGTAAGCCGCCCCCTCCTCCGCACCGCCGCCGTGATCCTTCTCCGCGAGAACCGCCCAGAGTCGCTCCGAAACCCTAATCAGCGCCGCCTGAGCGGTGGACACCTCGCACTCCACCCGCTCCCCTTCATCGCAATCGACTGTACTGCCGACTCTGTCCGTCAACACGATGCGATTGTCGATAGAAGTGGAGCCGACGATGAAGATGACCCAGTGCTCCGACCCATTATCCGGCTGGTGGCAGTGGATTCTGGAGCCGGTATCACGGCGGATCTGAGAGACGACGGCGCCGGTCAAAC